GTCCACTTTCACCACTTCTATTCAACATAGTATTGGAAATTTTACCCACAGCAATCAGACAAGAATAGGAAATAGAAGGCATCCAAATTGGAAAGGAGGAAACAAAACTCTCCTTGTTTGCAGATGACATGATAGTGCACATAGAAAATCCTACAGACTTCGCCAAAAAACTGCTCGACCTAATAAATGAATTTGGCAAAACAGCAGGATACAAAGTCAATATCCAGAAATCAAAGGCATTTTTGTATACCAACAATGAAACATCAGAAGCAGAAATCAATAAAAACATCCCATTTGATATAGCAACAGGAAAAATAAAATACCAGGGAATAAACCTAACCAAGGAGGTAAAAGACCTGCACTCAAAAAACTACACAACACTGAAGAAAGAAATCAGGGAAGACACAAACAAATGAAAACATATACCGTGTTCATGGATCAGAAGAATCAACATCATCAAAATGTCCATATTACCCAAAGCAATTTACAGATTCAATGCAATACCATTTAAAGTACCAATGGCATATTTCCCAGACATAGAACAAACCCTTCAGAAATGTATATAGAACCATAAATGACCCTGAATAGCAGCTGCAGTTTTGAGAAAGAAGAGCAAAGTAGGAGGAATCACAATATTTGATACCAAACTGTATTACAAGGCCACTGTAATCAAAACAGCTTGGTACTGGCATAAAAACAGGCACATGGACCAATGGAACAGAACAGAGAGTCCAGAAATAAACCCAAGTCTCTACAATCAATTAATATTTGACAAAGGGGGCAGCAACATAAAATGGAGTAAAAATAACCTCTTCAACAAATGGTGTTGGGAGAACTGGACAGCTACATGCAAAAAAATGAAACTCGAGCTCCAACATATAACATACATGAAAATAAATTCAAAGTGGATAAAAGATTTAAATATAAGTGATGACATTAAAGTCCTAGAGGAGAACATAGGCAGGAAAATCTCAGATATTTCAGGCAGCAATATTTTCACTGATATATCCCCTAGAGCAAGGGACATAAAGGAAAGAATAAACAAATGGGACATCATCAAAATAAAAAAGCTTCTGCATGGCTAAAGTAAACCCTATTAAAATAAAAAGAGACCCAACCATGTGGGAAAACATATTTGCAAATGATACCTCAAACAAGGGTTTAATCTTCAAAATATAAAAAGAGCTCACATGGTTCCACTCTAAGAAGACAAGCAACCCAGTTAAAAAAATGGGCAAAGGACTTGAACAGACACTTCTCCAAGGAGGACATACAGAGGGTCCAGAGACACATGAAATGATGTTCAATATCGCTATCAGAGAGATGCAAATTAAAACCACAATGAGATAGCACTTCATACCAGTCAGAATGTCCATCATAAACAGAGAAACAAACATCAAGTGTTGGAAAGGTTGTGGGGGAAAAAGGTACTCTAGTGCACTCTTGGTTGTCCTGCAGACTCGTACAACCACTATGGAAAACAGTATGGAATTTTCTCAGAAAATTGAAAATGGATCTGTCTTTTGACCCAGCAATTCCACTGCTAGTATTATAGTGTAAGAACTCAGAAACACCAATCCAAACGATCCTATGTACCCCAATGTTTATAGCAGGACAATTTACAATAGCCAAGTGTGGGAGGCAACCTAGGTACCCATCAGTAAATGAATGGATCAAAAAACTATGTTACATTTACACAATGCAATTCTATGCAGCAGAAAGAAAGAAGGAGCTCCTACCCTTTGCAACAGCATAGATGGAACTGTAAAGCATTATGCTAAGCAAAATAAGCCAGGCAGTGAAAGACAAATACCATATGATCTCACCTTTAACAGAAATCTAATCACCAAAACAAACAAACAAGCAAAATATAACCAAAGACACTGAAATAGAGAACAGGCTGACAGTGAACAGAGGGGAGAGGTGATAGAATTTTGGGGGAAGGGTTTGATGGAACAAGTATAAAGGACACATGGACCATTATAAGGTTTAGGTGGAAATGGGAGGGAGGAGAGGAGGGCTAGAGGGTGGGCTGGGAATGGAGTAAATGGCCGAAAACTGTACTTGAGCAACAATTAAAATAAAATAAAATAAAATAAAATAAAATAAAATAAAATAAAATAAAATAAAATAAAATAAAATAAAATAAAATAAATAAGTGTCAATAAATAAATAATTATTAAGTATAAATATTACAGAATAAACTGCAGAACATCCAAAATAAATAAGTAAAAAATAAAACAATAAAGTACAGGTGTGACAACAGGAAAATTCTTCCACAGACAGTTTGGTTCCCTTCCTCATAACTTCTCTTTTCATTGGGGACTGCATATTGATGTTGAGTTCTCTTGTTTATAATGCTCTGACTGCATTGTACTCTATTTCCTAGTGTCTCAGGTGAGCTTAGCACAATTTAACATGGAGGAAGGCTCATTAGCCTTGCCTAGCAAAGGGCTATCATTGAATTGCTAGTTTTAAAACAATTTGTAGGTTTTTCTGTTAACCTTATTTGCATCATGTTGTTTATTGTGCTCCATGCATCTTGCTCTTCTCTGTAAGCAACAGCTGTGGCTATCCATGTGGTTTATTTGGCTATATACATAAAACCGAAGTGCATTTTTAAGGCTGTGGTATCTGCATCACTACTTGCTAGCTACTTGGCATCCCGGAGCTTCTGGGACATTATGACATGATAGGTTTGAGAGCTCTCTTTCTGCTTTTTTCAGCCACCATAAGTTCTTCACCTTTAGTTTATCTTAAAGGGAAATGACCAAAACTAGGGGCAAACATTTTTTTCAAACAATATATTCTAGAATATTAGGTAGAATTTATTATTCAGACATGTTGGATGTTAACACATATCAAAGTCATTTGTGTTCATTGTCATAACTTGATTTGGGATATGTAAATAGAGAAATATTTTTCTAGTGGAAAGCCTTTGTAGCACCATGTAGACTAAGATATATGTGCAACAAGTAATGATAGGATCAGGAATATGTGAGTTTAGCCATGGTTGGACACCATAAGTCGTAGTCATGACAAACAATGGGGCAAGAATGTAGAAAGCCTGGTCAGGTAAAAGAGTCAGGTTGACTCATACTGCGTGTTCAACAAATTATTGTCAAAAGAATTAATTAAGTAGTTGAATTTGGGGAGGTTTGTGAGATAAGGAAGTTGTCAAAGTCAGAGGAAAAAAGGTCTAGGTTGATAACATGGACATTATGGAGTTTGAGGCAGCAAGATCATCCTCCAGGAACAATGAAACATATTCTGTTCATAGGAGTGGAGCTGTGTGTCCTTTGGACTATTTTATTCTTCCAGCTGTTTATCATCACAAATTGTAAGTCCCAGGTGAAGAATTATAGCTCAAGAAAGTCAAGTGCCAGCAGATGCATCCTAAGCTTGACTGGAACAGGAGCAGAGGTGCTAGGATTACTGGGAGGTTCTTGCATTGGCTATGCATATGAACATTCTCTCTTCCAAGTGTTTTTTTTTTTTTAATGTATAACAGTGGAATGTGCCCCATTTGCAAGCCAAATTATCTCACCTATCCAGAGGAGCCCTTCATGTGCATGTGCTTCTAGGCAATCAAGTAACTCAACCAAGGTTTGTGGAAGCCATTTCCAGCCAGAGGACATGCAAAACTCCTGGCTTCAGGTACCATCTTAACATAAATAACCAGAGTTCCTTTCATGTGAGGGTGGTGAAGGTTGGAATCTTCCTAGAATTACAACAACATAGTCCTGCCTCTTATATCTCTAGATAGTCAAAGGGTCCTGCCTATTCATATCATAGGGTTTTTATGTATCTTTATATGCTTACCCTTTTTTCCTCCTTCAGTAGGTAGAACCAAATCATTAATAGTATAGGTAAGTGAGTGGCTGCTTCATTATGTAAAATACCTTTTGGTCATGTTTTAACTATATTCTAGATCTGTTTTAATGGAAAAATATTGATGTGTTTTAGAAATAAATCTTGAAATGTTTGCCTGTCTTTTAAAATTAGTATTTGCAAGTATATGGGTTTAATAAATACTATTAATTCCATATGAGTCTATGCTCACTATGGTAAATTTTAAAATAATTTTTTCTTAAGTAAGGGGCTTTTGAAAAGCACTATAACTATTCTAAAACCAGTGGGGGCTAATACCTTGAGTAATATTGTATTCATTAATATTTTTTCAAGAAAAATATATGTGGAGAGGTTGGCTCTAGGCCAATATAGCAAAGGAGGAAGAATACACATTCTCAAGGCACAGTTATCTCTCTGACTAAATATGTGAAGAGAAAAACCTAATTTGTCAATACTGGAAAGATGCATATTTTGAAACAAAGCCTTCTTTTTGAAGTTTGTGTCAAATTAGTTGGCCATGGATTGAACAAGAATAATAGGGAATGCACTTGTATAAAACCCAGCTGCTGTCTCTAATATTTGGTAATGAAGTGCTTTTTGTATATGAAGATGATAACACTAACCAACTAGAAATATGGCATGTGCTGTGATTAGTGTCTCTAGGGCTGAGGCTGGATTATTACCATCTTCCACACTCCAGGGCCCAGCCACTCTTGGATCTCTTGCACATATTTGTGCAAACAAGGTGTAGTCTGTGACCAAGTAACAAATCCAAGCCACTGGCACAGAAAAAACTTCAAATCCATGCCTTTGGTCTGTTTAATCCTGCATTCAAATACACTGACCTAATTATTCAGACATCACTGAATATCACAAGTATATATAGTCCCAAAGAGTCACAAGTAATAATTCTATTATTCTATTTGACTGTGGCCCATTACATAAAAGTTTCATGTCATATAATATGATTAAATTATGTTAAAATGTACTAGATTTCTTATAACATGACAGATGACTTATTTTTTCCAATTATTAACAACAGTCACTGATTATAGTGCTTATTCCAGTCTGTTAGTGGTTATAGATTTTTAGTACTTTAAGAGAACCTGCTAATATGTGCAATCTTTTTGTTCTTCTTTATATTTAAGACAACAAGGAATATGATGCTTATCTCTCTTACATAAAAGTGGACCAAGATACTTTAGACTGTGACGATCCTGAAGAAGAGCAGTTTGCTATTAAAATACTGCCAGGTGTCCTAGAAAAACATTATGGATATATCAACTCTTCATTCCAGAAAGAGACCTGATTCCAAGTGGAAGTAAGTACTTTCATGTTTTGTATTTTAAATGTTTGATTTCTTTTAGGAACTAATATGGAAGTTTCAAATATTAGAGACAAGTATTTAGATAGTTGTTTCTCACAGATTTTACTAAATTAAAAATTCTCCCCAATGCCTGTGTTCTCACATTTTATCATCCACATTTTTTGAAAGGCACTCACTTATATTTCAGGTATGGTTTTGAAATTGTGCCTTAATGGTGCTTTTATTCTATTGCCTTTGTGTTCTGAGAAAATATATTCCTTTAAAAATAATTTGTATAAGTCAGTTAAAGTCTTTTCAATGCATTTCAATTACAAAGCTGGTCTTTTCTCATTGGGCTTCTACATATACCTACAATCATTGTCCCTAGTAACTGAATTTATGTCTTGTCACTCATTTTCAGATTTATAGAAAAAAAACATTTAAAAAGATATGTGAGGCCACTGGGAACTGCACTTTCAGTGTGTATTTAAATTATTTTTAAGAAATTCTGGATCATGTGGGCTTGAATGCTACTTTTAAATTATTTTACATATTGAAAGCTGTATTTTCGCTTTTAGAAAAAAATCAGGTTCAAGTAAAAATATATACTTAGTTCCTGTTAATGTTCAGAGTGCTGTATAGGGTAAAGTGTAAAGGCAGTTCAGAAAAGCCTAAGATATGGACCCTGCTGTCAAAAAGCTTAAAATGCCACTAAAGGAAAATAAAAGTGCTAGAATTAATTTGCATGTGGGTTTATATTAATATCCTTGAGAGGGGGAAGCTGAAATGCGACCACAAATCAGAATATGGTCATTTATACACATACAATAACAAATTAAAAGGTTATATTTTCAGTACTTCACAGTATATAAATATTTTTTCACAGGCATCACTTTATTTCATCTTTACAATAACCCTATGTAGAGAGAGAGAGAGAGAGCAGGTACTATCCTCCTATGAATGAGGAAATAAGGACTCAAAGAATACCTAGATCACACAGCTGGCAAGTGGTAAAGCTGGAATTAGAATGTAGATCTCCTTGATTCTGGTTCTCACTTCATTAAATCATGCTATTCTTCAATTACATTTATTCAGATTATCAGCAGTCCACAGTGGTCACTAAACTAATAGATAAATTGAAACAACTGAGTTTGGATTGTCCATCTCACACTGTATATGTGTCATGTATATTTGTGTGCATGTGAATATGCACACTTTTCTCACACTGTATATGTGTCATGTATATTTGTGTGCATGTGAATATGCACATTTACACATGCAAAGAATAAAGAAAACAGTATTTACTGCTCCATTACTTTCCTGCACCACAAATGAAAGAATTCCCAAACTTCTTCCCATAGTCCTTTGCTTCTTTCTTTTTGCAATTTTCTTCATTTTCATGACTTCACATACCATGTCTACATTGATCAAGCCCCAATGAACACGATGATACCTCAGAGTCATTTTTTATTCTTCTGTATCTCTCTCCCAATTCCAGTGTCCATTGCATTTTTTTCATTCTCACTTCTACCATTCTAGTATAGGCACTAATTACCTGATTTCTGAAATGTTGATTAGTCTCTACCTTCCCTGTTTTTTCTCTCATCCATCTGGTCCTACTAATATGTATACCTCCTTGATCACATCACTTCTCTCTCTATTCAACATCATTAAATTATTCACCATTTCCTATAGGATAAAATTTATAACTCTTAGGTAAACATTTCTACAGCCTGGTGTCAACCTATATTTATCTTCTAAAATTATTTCCTACCATTTATTCTACTTACTCCTTCTACTCTAAATTGTACCTTTTATATACATTGTGTGTTCCTGTAATGCTTTTGTTCATGTTAGTTTTTTATACCTTTATAAATCCTACTTAACCTTCTCCATACAACTGCCTCTATGAAAAGCCTGTAATAATTTCTCTAGCCCTATAGATTATAATTACTTGTTTGACCATAAATTTTGTACTCTTTTGCTATTTTGTATTATTTTATGTACATTCCCACCTAGTTATGGCAGCAAGATTGTAAGCTTCATGAGGGCAGGAATTCTATCTCATTTATTTTCATACCCCTGTCTTCATCTAAGCAGAGTAATTGGATGCTTCATAGATGCTTGTTGATTTTGTTTGAACAGTGTTGTCTTAAAACAGGAGGAGATAATGAGAATAAAATAAGTAAAAGTTTAAGTTATTTGTTTTTTATTTAGTTTTCAATTAGTTTATATTCAATATTTTTTGTATTACTTTCAGATGTACAGCATAGATTTTTACATGACAGTATGTGAAAGATACTTTCTTTTTTTGTATATTTGGAAACCTGATTATGTTATATTTTAACCAGAAAGAACAGATTCATGACATCGTAAAAATTGAGGGAACTATACATAATATAAAAATTAATATGATAAACTATACAATTCAGTGGCTTTGGAATCTGGATAATGTTGTACCACTATCAGCTATCAAGTTCTTGAACATTTTCATTATTGTAAAAGGAAGTCCCATACAGTTCAGAGTACTTTCCATTTTTCCAAGCCTCATTCTCTCATGATCTCTAAGCTCTTTTCTGTCTCTATGGCTATGCTCCATTTTTATGTACAGATGCCTACATATATCACTTCCAATTGACAGAGCTTCATTAGTCAATTGTTTGTGAAAGACATTTTCTTAAACAAAGTGAATATGAAAGTTTCAAAGAAAATTTCTACCGAAAGGAAAAAATGTGATTAAATAATAGAGACAGTGTTAATCCTTAAAACAAGCTAATGAGTATATTACTTTTATTTTTTCAAATATTTGCAAAAATAGCTACAAGATGTTAATTAATCATTAATAAAAATTAAAAGACTTCTTTACTATTTTTGGCCTTACTCATTATATTAATATGTATGTTTTGTATTGTTCCCCAAAACATCTTGTTAAATGTAGAAATTCTGTAAAATCTACATTTACAGTGATAATAGCTTAAATGGTATTAAACTAACATCATTACCAAAGTAGAATTTATATTCAATGTCAGACTAGTCATCTTCAGCAAATCTCAGTGTGGTACTGGTCTTTCCACTTTCTTGCATTACAAAATTGTTAGCCCCACAAATAACCAGTCTTTATCAACCTTACCAAGTGAATAAAAATAGCAGTCTTTAAGTCTGAATATTTCAACATCATCTTTATTCTGAACTAGAAAAAAATGATTCACCATTATACACATTAGAAATGGAAACAGGAACAATATGGAAAACAGGAGATCCACTTTACCTGAGACTCAGTAGATGACACTTGCTCATTGTGTAAATAAGCAGCTATTTGTACATGGGTGAGAATGAGACCTAGAGAGAATTAGGGGGAGAAGGATGCATCTCAAAATTGTGTCCTGCTAGTGCTCACAGATAGTCCAGTTCGATGACTTGACAAGTGAATTGAATCAACCTGCTATGTTAATTTAGCCAAATATGTGGTAAAATGTTTTATACCTCATTGAGTCAGCTACTTATTTGGATTACTTCATTGAAATTAATTAGTTATTTTGCTGCATTATAGACAGGTCTGAACATCTTTCTTGATCATAGAGTATAAGGCTAGTAGAAGTTGTATTTTCTAGCTCAAAACTGCAATAGCTGCGGACTACAACACACCGCATAGATGATAGGGGTTGTCACCTACTATACCTTGGAATTTAAAGAACTTAGCATAAAAACACCCATGGAGATGTTATCATAATGGGAAGATATTTTACAATTCATAACAATCACTTTAATTTTTTTGAGATTATACAACTATCATACAGAGCAGAGAGTTGGATCCTGGATACCCAAAGGTGCACAGGAAGAAAGACTCAATTGACACAACTATGCGATTTTTAGTTGCAACCACTGGAGGCTGTTTGACTTTGATCCTTCCTTCCTGAACAAGGTAATTCATGTTCTCTTAATTCTGATTTATGAGTATAACCTGCAAAAAATCATAAAAAGGTCCTTTGACAATTTTTCTTTTCCATCAACATTTCAGAGCTGGCAGAGCAGTTACCATGTCATAATTAATGAATTTTTCCTCAGTATTTTTAGCACACACTTAGGAAGTCGATGAGCCATATGAATAATATACTTGATTTATACATGAATGAAAGAGTAGAACATTTTGGACTTGGGATATGTATGTTATTAATGAAGCTTCTGTAGTCAGTATTTGTAGCCATCACTACAGATTTAACAAATTTTGCTATATAAATATAGAAACATTCCTGCAGAAAAGGGAGACCTAGTTACAATATTATAAGTTATGTTTGTCCCTCACATCTCATTTAAAATATGTTGTCCCAAGACTACTTGTTCCTCCAAAAACTAGCAATGAGGACTTTGAGGACATATAGAAGCAGACTTCATAATGTTCTTGATTTACAACAATAGTTTTCTATTTATCAAATCAATGAAGTCTGTGACATAAACCCATTCATATTTAACACCTTCAGTTTGATGTATCTTCAGTTTTTTATTGCACCACTCTCATGGTATTCCAACTCAATATTATTAACACATAAAACTTTCCAATGCATACAGTTTAAAAGTACATGAGTGGGAATGAATCTCTCTCCACATCCCTCCCTCTCTCCCACCTCATCTTTCTCTCTCTCCCTCCTTCTCCTAAGAGTTCTTAAAAAACTTCAGTATGGTCATGACACTTTCCATTGTGAGGTCAACATGTCTGAACCCTTCTCATATAGCCTACTAGGGAAGTGTCCTTTGGACATCATGAACCAGCAGAGATGGGGAGATTTGACATAAATATTTTCTCTTAATGCTAAAATTAAAAGTCTTCAAATATGGATATTATTTCCATAGCAGTGACCTACATTTCCATTTTTGGACCTGTGGCCAGGATCTTTCTTATGTTTTCTCGGGTATGGTGCCTGAATGTGGCAAGAATTCCTACCTTCCAGTATAAATTTGGTCTGTTTTTTCCCAGGCTAGAAACATGTGCCCTGAGAATAGCAAAAGGAACTTTGTTG